AGCGTGGACTGGACCAGGTTCCCGGTGGACCCCGACGACGGGGCGCCGCTGGAGTGGGCCAAGAAGGGCAGGTGGGAGCGCCTGCGCCTGGCCTCGCCAGGCCGTCGGCGGATACCTTCGACTTGGGCGGATTGGCGTTCCACCCGGCCGTGGCGACGGGCCGGCGCCTTATGCCGTGCGCCACCACGCCGGCACCTATCGACGAGGGCCGGCCCAAACCTCGGGCGACTAGAGGAAAGACGTCCAAGGACACAGACGCCAGGTGGAGCGACGGCAAGCGCCAATACGCCCCATGGCACTACCAGCTCGAGGCCATGCTTCAGGACAGCCAGGGCGTCCTACACCTCCCCACGGCCGAGATTAAGGAGCAGCTGCACGGCATTCCCACCGGCTACACGGCCCAGGCGGACGACAGGACGCGCCACCGCATGATCGGGGAGGGCTGGCATTGGGGCGTGGCCGGACGCATCCTGGGCTTCGTCGTCCTGGCCGCCTGGGCGGCCCCACTGGCGGAGGCCCGCCGGCTGCCAGCCTCGCCTAAGACCTCGACATTGCAGTGGTTGACCCAGGCCTGGGCGGGCCGTCCGTGGGACTTCGCCCCCCCACCCCGGCCGTCCCCACCCACTGGGCCTCGGCGCCGCTCATGCAGCACTCCCTCGCCAGACGCCCGGCGTTGGAGCCTGCCCTTTCAACCGTCATTGACCTCCGACGGCGATGCCGACATGACACGACTTCGGACCGCCCTAGGCCCTTCCAGGGGCCCACCTTCCTGGGCCTGCTCCGCGACCTCGGCTACCCCGCCACCGCGGACCTTGAGGAGGACTTGCGCCTGGGCTTCGATATGCTGGGGCCCGTCCGCCGGGCACCAGGCTGGAAACCGCGGGCCGACGGGCGCTACTCTAACCCCTCAGGCCTGGATCGCCTGCGGCAGGAGAATCCGACCTACGTCGGGGCCAAATGTTCCAGGGCGCGCGCCGGCGTCCACACGGCAGCCCTCCTGGAGGAGCTGGTGCAGGAGGCCCGCCTTGGCCGGGTCACCGGCCCTTGCGCCCCACTGGGCGACTGCTTCGCCGCCCTCTCCTTTGCCATTTGCCAGGTCGACGAGAACGGGGACCTCAACCTACGCCGGGGCGAAGATTGGCGTCGGTCAGGCCACAACGCCACCATGAGCGCCGAGGACGTGCCCACCCACCACTTCCTGACTGACATCGTCGACTTCATCCTGGCCGCCTGGTGCGAGGGTTGGGGCCCGAAGGTCTTCGGCCATGACCTTCAGAAGAACACGTCGTCCAGGGCGTCCAG